ACTCAATTGAGTTAAGGGATCGAATTTTTTCTCATCAACAAGAGGAGATTCGGTCAAAAGGCTGGCTTTTGCTCTGGGCTCTTGGGTCCTTCCTTTTTGGGCAGCAAATGGGGAATTTCTTAGAGATCGAATCATTCTCTAACAGAGATCATCTTCAAGATCGGCAACAGGAGCATTCTCTTGGCTTATTAACCGACTTTCGGTTAAATCAACTCTTCCATAGAGTTTCAAACTCGTTCAGAGTTATCAACTCGTTCAGAGTTATCAACTCGTTCAGAGTTATCAACTCGATCAGAGTTCAAAACTTGCTCTGCAAGTTCTTCTAAAACTCGTTCAGAGTTATCAACTCGTTAAGAGTTACTTCCAAACTTGCCACGCAAGTTCTCCACAGCGTCAAATCGTGAGGAGAAGATCACGTTTCAGTGAATCAAGACGTTCGGATCGTCAACGAGAAGCAAACTCGACGCGAGCATTCGAGGGAGGCATCTCATCGCCACCGTGAAGAACCCAGAATTAAACAAAGGGGAGAATCAAATTCATTCTCCTCTCTTTTGTAATCGGAATCCAAATTGTAATTGATTTTGAGAGGAATACAAGTCAAATTTTCTTTCACTGTCTTTTTACTGCAAATTTCCAACAAACAAAAGATGGCGACTCCGCTGGGGACTAGCTTCTCTGACGAGGAAGTGGTGGCGCAATCCGACGTTCACCTTACAGGAACCACCGTCGAAACTCTCGTCGTAGAGTTCGACCAAGCCAAGTATGAGGAGGTCCTCTCCTCTGGGTCCCTTAGCCCAAAAGCTAGGCGTGATACCCACAGGACCTCTAAGGAGGTCATCACTACTGCTGAGATGCCAAAGAAAGCCCTCTCCTTTGGCCAAAGCCTCAAACAACTAAACCCCTCATTTAGGAGCGAATTAAGGAGGTGATTACACCCCTTAATCCCTTATAAATAACTAAAAAACAATTCAGTTCAGGAGCGGTCTGTTGGAACTTCTTGGCAGCGAAAAGAGGATCCTTCATCCTTCGGTTGGAGCTTTGGAGATCGGCAACAAGATCTTCTTCATCCTTGGCTTATAACCGACTTTCGGTTAAATCAACTCTTTTATAGAGTTTTAAACTCGTTCAGAGTTCTCCACAACGTCAAATCGTGAGGAGAAGACCACGTTTTAGTGAATCAAGACGTTCATATCGTCAACGAGAAGCAAACTCGACGCGAGCATTCGAGGGAGGCATCTCATCGCCACCGTGAAGAACCCAGAATTAAACAAAGGGGAGAATCAAATTCATTCTCCTCTCTTTTGTAATCGGAATCCAAATTATAATTTATTTTGAGAGGAATACAAGTCAATTTTTCTTTCACTGTCTTTTTACTGCAAATTTTCCAACAAACATAAATATACATATTTGTTGAAAGAGATAAAAGTACTATGAAAATTATTATAATTTTTAATCTGAAAAAAAGATCAAACATACAATATAATTTAATTACTTTAAAATAATGTAATCTAATCCAATAAGAAGAAAATAGATGAAAGTGCTGTGAAAATTGTTGATATTTCTTGATGTGAAAAAAGATCAAATATATAATATAATTAATTATTTTAAAATAATCTAATCTAATCTAATAAGAAGAAAATAACAAAGACATATATTTGTAGAAGGAGATGAAAGTGCTATGGAAATTGTTATAATTTCTTGGCTTATATACATTGGTATGTGATATTGCATGTGAGAGGATAACAATTGTAAATAGAGTTTTATTTAAAAAATAAGTGTATAATTAAACTTAAAACTAATTATGCAGTACTTTGACCTACTTGAATTTTAGTTGGTGAGAGATCGCCACGTTGTGTCCTCATATCGTAGCCGTTTGTTTTAATTTTTCTTTTTTGTAATTTTGAGAACTGTTTGTCTCTTTAATTTGTTTGGTGGATTTTACAAACACCTCATCCACATTATGTATATTAGTGGGTCTGTGTTGCTCCTGGGTTCGACCTTTGGGACGGACATTATTTGTCTCACTAATTTGTTTGGTTTTTACATATACGCCCTTCATCTTGTATATATTTGTAAATTTGACATTTAATAATTTCATTCAGGTTTATATTTTAATTTAAACTATATCCGTATCTTCATATTATGTATATCCAATAAGAATTCATCAATTTATTAACTCACTCTCACTTAATGGATTAGTATTTAAATTTCAAGGGTATTTTTGTCTACCAAAAGATTTTTCCGAACTCGTGCTTTTAAAGAGAGTATGATATGGAGGAATTTGGTAACAAGTAAAAAATTATGTACTTGGTAGTGAGATGGCTCATTATCATCCACTCATTCATATAGGGACCACATTTATATGAGTTGGAGAGTGGATAAGAAGAAAACACCTCGCTACGAAATACAAAATTTATGTTTGGTATAAAGTTCCTATATTTTTTCTCTCATATATATATTCGCGCGCGCGTGCACACACACACATATGAGAAAAATGGGTATGCGTGGTACCAAGCACAAATTTTATGCTTAGTAGTGAGGTGACATAATCCTCTCCACTCATTCAAATGGGAGACCACCTTCACATGGGTTGTGGAGTGCATGGGAATATGCCACCATTTGAATAAGTGGAGGGGATTATGCCACCTCACTACCAAGCATAATTTTTTATGCTTGGTACCAAGCATACCCATCTCTCTCTCTCTCTCTCTCTCTCTGTGTGTGTGTGTGTGTGTGTGTGTGTGTGTGTGTGTATGTGTGTGTGTGTGTAGACACACACACACACACTACTATAAAAAGAGGTTTTCGGTGTTAAAACTTTTGATTTTCTTTTTTACCCTCTCCAATTTTGATAAATTCTAACTATATCATTATCTCTAATTAATGTAGGCAAGTAGTATGATAGATTACATTTGAAGCTCTTGGGATAACACACTCACACATTTTCAGAACTTGTATTTTGATATTTTTGCTAAACGTTGAGTTTTCACAAATACGAGGTCCATTTTGCAAAATTTCTTTTCAAACAAGTTTGTTATTATATTTAAAAACTTTTTCCAAAGTTTTATATTTTTTTAAATTTATTTACTATTTTTAATGGCTCTGGAAACTCATTTTCAAAAATCTGAAAAAGGGTGAAAATCTGTTATCAGTCGACTAATGCAAAGGATCAGTCGACTGATGAAACTAGCCAGAATCATCAAAAGTTTTTATTTCTGTGACTAACGTTCTATCATTCGACTGATGACCCTTTCAATCGACTGATTAGTTCTTCAGTCGACTGACGAACTGCAAATCACTTACAACGATCAGCTCATCAGTCGACTGATGAACCTCGTCAGTCGACTGATAAGCTTCCAATGGCTAGTTTTGTATAGTTTCTAGATTTCTTTGTTTTTGAACATTTTTATCTGTTTCTTTCAGGTTTAGATGTTCTCTTGAATGCTTATAAATATCCACCAACCCCATTCACTTCCGTAACTAAGCAAGCATTTAAAATCTCTTGAGTTTGTTGTTTATTGTTCAAAAGAGCTTCAACTTTCATTTGTTTTCACACTTACAAACCCTACATCCCAAACTTCAAATTACAATCTCTTCATCTTGCCATAGGGCTATTGTAAGAGAGTTTCTTTTCTTTCATTTGAAACGTGTGAAGAGCTTGATCTCGTGGAGATCTATTGTGTGGTTGTGAGATCTCAAGAAGATATCGTTGTGAAGAAGTTCTGGCTTCCAAACCGGGTTGTGATAGTGAAATTCTCCTCGAGAGTAGGGAGCGGGGAAGTAGATCGGTGGACCAAACCTCGTGAACATATCACGTGTCATAATTGACTAACTATTTCTTAACTCATCTCCTTTATATTGTTTTAGTATTTTATTTTATGGTGTATTACATTGTCTTATTTTTGTTTGCATATTTATTGCCTCATAACCCTATTCACCCCACCCCCTCCTCTAGGGTCCAACACTTAAATCCTCCCATAGGCGCACGTTTCAGGCTTTTCCCTAGTCTGAGGAGGATCTTAAAAGTGGAAGGAACCTATAAATCATAGAACCCATGAACTGAGGATAATCAATTGTTCGATGGGTAGCAATTTGTGAGTGTTGATTTTAAATAGAAACTTATGATGGAGAACTACCAACCAAATCATTTCCAGAAAATTTTTATTTTTGCAAGAATTTCTGGTTATTAATCGAATCTAGGATCCAATTGCTGGTTATTAATCGAATCTAGGATCCAACCATTAAACCCATTGCAAGAATTTCTAGTTCTCAATTGAGTCTGGGAGAGTGATATGCAGTCTCAAGAGGTTGAGTGACTTAAAATTTAGAGGATATAGGACGACGTCCCATTTGGCAAGATATAGTCTAGTCACCTCCAATTCCTTGATAATGCAGAGAGGTCAATGGATCTCTTCTATTAGAAGTTGATTTTAAAAGGAACCTTTTGATGGATGATCTTCATGAGCTTTTGAATTTGGGTTGGAAAAAAATTGATTTCAGAAAATAAATTTATTGCCAATTTGTTTGGGAACATATTTTCATATACGATTCCAGGGATTTTGGGAAGTAGAATATAGTTTAGATTTTAGTACCGATGAGGCTGAATAAAAAAAGAACGAAAGTAAAACACAAACGGAAGGAAGGAGATGAATTTGGAAAGCTTTTACAAGTGACACATTTGTGGAAACTTGACTTTATTATCAAAATCAATTATTTCTAATCTATTTCATCAAAACCTCAAAGACTTACAGTGAATAAGAAAATGTCATGTGGCACCAACGCAAGAAATTTTATGCACCGGCAGCTCACCTCTCATTCCCTAATATATATGAGAAAACGGGAGGTGAACTGCTAGTGTAAGAAATTTCTTGTGCTTCCTTAAAACCCAAAAGACTTACAGGGAGTAAGAAAATGCTATGTGACACCGACACAGGAAATTTCCTGTACTGGCAGCTCAATAAATATGTATATACATTCACACACACACACAAAATACTAACCTGTTTGGTAAGCCCATCTTGAATTTCATAGCGCTTTAGAGTCAGGCCAGAAATCCATGAACCAGGAACCATCAACTGTTATTAATTTTAGAAAAGAAAATCAAATGTTTCTTTTTGTAATATTTCTTGCAAAAGAGTGAGAAAAGAATTTTGAAGAGCTTACATCGATTTTTCTCTGAATAAGCTTTGCTCTCTTCTTAGGCCTTTGAGGAAGCTTTGATCCTATAAAAACCATGAAATCTTCTTCCTTTTCCTCTTCTGTCAGTTGGATCAATAATTTTGGAAAAACCAAGTTACTCTCGTTTGAATGTGATGACACCCCTCCATGCTTTTGAGAATTCTGGGCATGGACCCCATATGTTTCTGCCTCAAAATTCCTAAGAAATAAAGAAATAAATTGAATAAAATTTTCAATGATCAAATGATTATAGTTAAGGTTCTAATTTGGGAGAATTATAGAGTATGCAATTAGGTCTAAAGAATTGGATTTACTTGTAACACTAAAATATTTGTATTCCTCAAAATCGATATACCCTATGAAAATTTTTAGCTTATTTATGCCCTTCTCTCACTATTATTCTAATTTCACCCACTATTTATTGTTGCAAAAATATTGAAATTATATAGATAAGATAATTTCGCAGTCATAGAAAAACCCCCCGAGAAGAATTTTGCTAATTGAAAATGATTGTACATGACCTCTATTAGGGGTTAGTTTATCATAATCCCTTTAAAAGCACGAATTAGGGAAAATCTTTTGGTAGACAAAAATACCCTTAAAATTCAAATACTAATCAATTAAGTAAGAGTAAGTTGATAAATTGATGAATTCTTATTGGATATACATAGTATGAAGATAGGGATATAGTTTAAATTAAAATGTAAACCTGAATGAAATTATTAAATGTCAACTTTACAAATATATATAAGATGAAGGACGTATATGCAAAATCCAAACAAATCAACGAGACAAATAATGTCTGTCCCAAAGGTTGAACCTAGGAACAACACAGACCTACAAATGTACATAATATGGATGAGATATTTACAAAACCCACCAAACAAATTAAAAAGCCAAGAGTCGTTCTCAAAATTATAAAAAAGAAAACTTAAAATAAATGGCTATGATCTGAGGACACAACATGGCGATCTCTCACCAACTAAACTTCAAGTAGTTCACGGTACTACATAATTAGTTTTAAAGTTTAATTATACTATTATTATTTAAATATAACTCTATTTACAATTGTTATTATCTCACATGCAAAATCACATGCCAATATATGTAAGCCAAAAAATTACAACAACTTTCATAACACTTTCATCTCCTTCTATAGATATGTGTCTTTGTTATTTTCTTCTTATTAGATTAGATTAGATTATTTTAAAGCAATTAATTATATTGCGTATTTAATCTTTTTCATATTAAAAAATAACATCTTCTTCCTTTTCCTCTTCTGTCAGTTGGATCAATAATTTTGGAAAAACCAAGTTACTCTCGTTTGAATGTGATGACACCCCTCCATGCTTTTGAGAATTCTGGGCATGGACCCCATATGTTTCTGCCTCAAAATTCCTAAGAAATAAAGAAATAAATTGAATAAAATTTTCAATGATCAAATGATTATAGTTAAGGTTCTAATTTGGGAGAATTATAGAGTATGCAATTAGGTCTAAAGAATTGGATTTACTTGTAACACTAAAATATTTGTATTCCTCAAAATCGATATACCCTATGAAAATTTTTAGCTTATTTATGCCCTTCTCTCACTATTATTCTAATTTCACCCACTATTTATTGTTGCAAAAATATTGAAATTATATAGATAAGATAATTTCGCAGTCATAGAAAAACCCCCCGAGAAGAATTTTGCTAATTGAAAATGATTGTACATGACCTCTATTAGGGGTTAGTTTATCATAATCCCTTTAAAAGCACGAATTAGGGAAAATCTTTTGGTAGACAAAAATACCCTTAAAATTCAAATACTAATCAATTAAGTAAGAGTAAGTTGATAAATTGATGAATTCTTATTGGATATACATAGTATGAAGATAGGGATATAGTTTAAATTAAAATGTAAACCTGAATGAAATTATTAAATGTCAACTTTACAAATATATATAAGATGAAGGACGTATATGCAAAATCCAAACAAATCAACGAGACAAATAATGTCTGTCCCAAAGGTTGAACCTAGGAACAACACAGACCTACAAATGTACATAATATGGATGAGATATTTACAAAACCCACCAAACAAATTAAAAAGCCAAGAGTCGTTCTCAAAATTATAAAAAAGAAAACTTAAAATAAATGGCTATGATCTGAGGACACAACATGGCGATCTCTCACCAACTAAACTTCAAGTAGTTCACGGTACTACATAATTAGTTTTAAAGTTTAATTATACTATTATTATTTAAATATAACTCTATTTACAATTGTTATTATCTCACATGCAAAATCACATGCCAATATATGTAAGCCAAAAAATTACAACAACTTTCATAACACTTTCATCTCCTTCTATAGATATGTGTCTTTGTTATTTTCTTCTTATTAGATTAGATTAGATTATTTTAAAGCAATTAATTATATTGCGTATTTAATCTTTTTCATATTAAAAAATAACAATAATTTTCACAACACTTTTATCTATTTTTCATCTTATTAGATTAGATTAGATTATTTTTAAGTAATTAATTATATCGTATTTTTGATGTTTTTTATATCAAAAATTATAATAATTATCATAACACTTTCATCTCCTTCAATAGGTATGTGCCTTTCTTATTTTTTTCTTATTAGATTAGATTATTAGATTAGATTGTTTAAAAATTATGAATTATAAAGTTGTAATAATTTTTACATCACTTTCATCTATTTTCTTCTTATTAGATTAGATCAGATTATTTTAAAGAAGTTAATTATATTGTATATTTAATCTTTTTTTAGATCAAAAAGTTTAATTATACTATTTTTATTTAAATAGATACTATTTGTATAAAAGTCAAAGAGAATCTCACACGTATTTTAGATCTCAATGCCAAAGATACTATTTGTATAAAAGTCAAAGAGAATCTCACACGTATTTTAGATCTCAATGCCAATTGTAATACTTACATATTAGTGTTGGTCAAAGAGAATCTCACACGTATTTTAGATCTCAATGCCAATTGTAATACTTACATATTAGTGTTGGTTAAAATATGTTTTATGCATGGGCTTGACTTATATGATCCTACTTTAACGAGATTAGATATTTTTTTACCCAAACTCTTCCATAAAGCTAAAAGAGAATAGTAATGCTATAGCTATATATATCCACAGGACTACATATATATTAAAAATGAACAAAACCATACAAATAAAAATCATATTACTTACTCCACACACTCACTATTTTTAAAACTACACTTCTCCATCTCCATCTATAATATATCCAAATACCCAAATTAAGATGTTGGAATGTCCCCCTCATCAACTACATCATTGATCAATCCTCCTTTTTCTTTGTACGTAAATTGTATAACATTCATTGCGATAAGGACTCACATGGGTCCTCTACCTGGCTTGAACATCCAATTAAAAAATAATGTACTAAGCCTTATAGTTAGTTAATAATGAGATCCTGTCATTATAAACAAATTAAGTAAAGATTAATAATTCTTAAAAATGTATTGCATTCTCCTAGCTTTCATAGCATACTTGTTAGATATTTATTCCTGACCCTAAGAGATTTTCAAAATTAATCTTGAGGGTTGCTTGCATTAAAAAAGTTCTGTTAGAGGGCCCATACAGTCTGTTTTATAGTTTAAGATTGTCAACACATTTTATCTCTGATACTTATTAATTATGAGTAATAATATAACTTTATTGATCTAAGTATATCCTAATATATTTCTGGACTCTTGTCTTGTCTTTTTCTCTTTATTGTATACCAACCTGATATCACAATTGATATAGACGATGAAGACACTATTGTAGAATTGTCCAAGAAAAAGATAAAGGTGGAGAATGATTGATCTCGGCTTAATTAAATATGAAAAAAGAAGGAACAAAGGATAATGTTTTTTGAATATTTTATAGTAAAACTTAATTTTTTGAGTAAAATTAGGAATCTTCAGAAGAGATTTTGATGCAAAATTTTTAATATGTTTATGTGAATGATTTTGTCATATAAAATTATACTAGAGTCACCAGTAATATTTAGTATTTATTTTTTTATGTTAAGTCTATCAATAATTTAGATGTCTTGCAGTCTTGTGACAAGTATGTACTCTATGCTGAGCTTATACAAACCATCTTAATATTAAATATTTGGTTATATTTTATTAACACATCAACAATACATTATTGTATTTTTTCAAACTTAACACTACATTTAATGACTAAGATAAACAAATTAAAGATCGACGATTTGTTCCGATAAAAAAAATATGTTACATGAAGTTTGATATATACAAATTTTAAAAAATAATGTTGTGTATGCAAGTATATTGATCTTAGTTTTACATGCAAATCTGTTTCATAAAATTTTTAAAAATGTTTAAATAAAATTTATAGCAAATGTAATAATTTATGTTTAAAGATTAACTCAAGATGAATTTGACTTATTTTATAGCAAGAAAATAAATAAAAATATAAATAATTTTGATATTTAACTACGTGCATTACACGTGCATAAGAACTAGTCATACTCCCTTTAAAAGTACGAGTTCGGAAAAATCTTTCTATGTTCAATATTACCCTTCACTATTTTAAATATTTCATTTATATATATTTCAATCTATCATAATCATAATTATATCCTATCCTAATCCTACGTGAACTATCTATAGCTTAACAATTTTAAAAAAAATATTAACAAAATATATAAAACATCTTCATGGTATTAGTTTATTAAGAGAAATAAAGTATACGTAGCTAACGTACTATAATACATAAAGTATTAAAAAAACCTAAAAGTTTTAAAATTGCACAAAATACCCTGAAAAGTTTAAAATTATAAAAAATATCCCGACGTCTAAAAACTTAAAACAACAAATATGAAAACATGAAATTAGCAGCAGTTTACGAAGAATTTAAAATTTGCAGTTAACATATCAATATCTCAAAAATTATAGAAACACCCTCAAAAGTTCAAATTACAAACAAGCACATGAAATTCTATAATTTTAAAACTTGCAAACAAGATAAATAAATTCAAAGGATTACCATAATGCACCTGAAAATTTCTGATATTTTAAAACTTAAAACAACAAACATGAAATTAATAAATTAACAGTAGCCTCCAAAGAATTTAAAATTTTTAATTAACACCCTCAATGTCCCAAAAATTATAGAAATACCCTCAAAAGCTCAATTT